ATTTCCCAGTTAACAAACTGGCCATGGATGTAGCAGCAGAACAAAGAGCAGGTGCCAGGATCTCCCACCTCAATTAGCACCTAAAATGACTGCCAGAGCAGCAGAGCTGCCTGGTGCTAGTCTAGCCTAGGACAAGACATCTGAGAGGGGCCACCCAAAAGTCAGACTGGAGGAGGCAGACCCCAACCTCTCCTGCTGCTGAGCTCTCAACACTTCCAAGCTCTTAGAGCAGCATCCAGATCCTGTCCTAGTGAAGTTCTCCCTGCTTTCCCTGCTCCCTGACAAACTGCCTGTGACACATCTCTCAGCCAGCACGTTCATCTTGATCCGTTATTGACAGAGCCATCTGATTAATGAGCAGATTCTCCTCCTTGTTGTTTCATGAGAAAGCAGCAGCATAGATTTTTAATTCTTCAAATCGCTCAGGCCCTGGCAGGCTGATGGGAAAGTCAGCAGAGGACAGTCAGGGGTTATAGTTTTGTTTGGATTCGTTCTGTTTTTTAAAAAACATTTGGGTCTTCACGTGCAGAGGTTGTGAACTGTGGTGTGTGAGCTCTCTCAGGACAGTGCATGCAGGAAACCTGGGACAGATGCCCAAACACAGGTTTCTTTCCAAGGGAATGGACACACTTGGCTGATAACCCACTGTGCCTGCAGATCAGGGAGATGAATGTTGGAGCAGGTCTCTCTCTCAGCTGAGCCCAGAGCAATGCTCAGCTATGTCCTTCAAGTAGCTGTCATTCAGACAAATCCCTGTGGCCACTGAAACAGCTGGATCAGAACATGGGCTTCCCTGTGATCTAATTATGTAGCAAGGGTAAGCACTGACAATACTGAGCATTGACTTCTTATTTATCGTCAGAAGAAGATGTAAAAAAACCCTTGACAAATGTGTTCATTTTGTGTCCTACTCTGAGCTCCACAGAAGCACGAAGACCTTATTTCAGACAGTAAAACACTGGAATTATCCTGTCCAGCCCTGGGCCTCTTCCTGTAGACATACAGCTGCAATAAGCTGGCCCTGCTGAGCTTTATTGAATGTTACACATTTTAGGCAGTGCTGGGAGCTATAGATTTTATCTTGGCTAGATATTTAACTCCCCCTTAAAATGAAAAATAGCTTTAAGAAGCCAGAGCAGCATTTCATTCCTTAAAAATGTAATTCAGCAGGCTCAAACTCCAAGTATAAAGTGACTGAAGGTGATTTAAATAAAAAATAATCTACCAGTGACCTAAAAGACAAATCAAGATGTGAAGGAAAAGGCCTAGTTATTAAAGTACCAGACTGTACTCTCCTCCAAGGAGCATGACCTTGATTAAGCAGCAGTGACACAGTCCACTCACCCAAGTAATGGGGAGAATATAGTTGAAGCTCCTAAAACCACTATGAAAGTATTAAGGTTTTCCACTGGGGATCCCAGATGTGTTAAAAGCACTTGACTGAACAGAATTACATCTCATAGAGTGTGCAGACACTGCATCCCTCCCCCCATGAGTGTACTGCCCCTCATGCACAGCTTGCCCACACTCTTTTGAAAGCTCAGCCCTCAGCATCTGACCAGAATGAGCTTATTAAGCCATCAGCAAAGGCTTTCAAACTTAAGAGCTGACTGGCTTTCTTCAAATGCTCCTTTCTGCCTGTACCTGCCTGGGCCAGGAGCATCTGTCCAGCCATAATCTGCACATCAGAAATTCATCTGCAGCCATTTATCTTCCAAGATTCCTTACACCAGAGGAGACCCAATGAGGTACAACCAAATACTCAAAAATCTTGCAAACACAGCTAATGTGTTCCTCCCTGCAGGGACAAGGTGCTGCAGGAGTGATGGAAGAGCAATGCTGCCATCTGTGGACACTTGGAATTGCAGCCTCCTGCCTCGGGAGGATCCTGGAGTACAGCCCGTGTATCCTACAATTATCTCCAAATGCAATTGTGTGGCACACTGATGAATATATCAGAACTATCCTGGAGTCTGCCATTGGTAGGAGGTGATCACTGCTACTGAACTGTTTGCCTGGTGATAGGGAAGGACAGGACTATGTGATTCACAGAAGGACTTTTACACAAAGAAGTATGATTTTTCATGCACTTATACTATAAACATGGAGGATGGAGACCCTCTTCCTTCCGTGAAGATGTTTTAATCCATGTGCAAAAATACAGCTTGAGTAATATAAAATAATCAAACACAGCATAATTGACAGAATGACACTCAGACATTTTATTGGGTCAGAAGAAAGGCCAGGAGGTGCTTTAGGACACGTTCACAGATGGGCTACAGGCCTGTTCATCTACCAGTGCAGACTCATCACACTGCAGGACAGCTCATCAAGAGAGACCTGAAAGAAGTTTTTAAAGTTTATATTCAGGGAAAGTACATGGGACAGGGAGAAGAAGGGTAGGGCAAGAGACCCAGCATCCTTGTCACAAAGCAAACCAATAAATGAACCTCTCTTACTACTTAATGACTACATGTGAAGATTATTTTGGTCTAATTACATTGGTTAAGTTACCTTTTAGGTTAGTTCATATCTGAAATATTTTCTAGTACTAAGTAGCTTTTTGGAAAGCACACAGAGATAAAGCACTTCTTACTTTCAAAGCTCTCTATGACAATGATGTCAGCTCAGCATCCCTGTGAGGTAGGCAAAAATCAGCTGTTTTCTGAGACACAGAGAAGTTAAATGACTTCCTCAAAGCCACGGTGAAGAATGTGTTGGTTATTATAACATCCTTAAGAACCTGGAATGATACTGTTTTTCACAGAGAGGGAACTGGAGGCAACCAGCATCTGCTAGTAAGGAATTACCAAATTTTCATCTCATTTTTATTATTAAAATACTTTGAATCCCCCCCACCTTGACAAGTGTTCCACAGACATGTATATGGACTAATGAGCTGTTTCATCTGAGTAACAAAAAGCACTGGTCCTTTCCAGCAGTAAGCAGACATCCCACCCAGGAAAGGGTAGCTAAGATACCACTAGAGTTACATACTGTATGATCATATTCCAGATCTTTCAACCATTATAATTATGGTTATCAAAGACATGAGCCAAGTGTTAGTTACTTTATGGAATTCAGCTTAAGTAGTCTAGTTTTTGTCAAAGGAGTAGGAAAAAAGATAACTAAAAAATAACTTTTAAACTGATAGCTATTCAAAACCAAGCTGTCATAAAACAAAGCACATAACTGCTACAAAGGGCAGGATTAACTTAATAAACCTACATATCCCCATTGCAAGGTTAACAGGTTCATCAGCTCAGCCCTTAGACCTAGAAAACCTTTTGGTTTGCAGAAAAGTGAAGTGGGTATTGGAGCCAAGGTCTTCTTCATTCTGTAGGTCCACAAAGAAGCAACAGGAGAAACTGTTGTGTATGTCTGTATTGAAAGCAGTTTCCAAAACCTTCTGGATATGCCCCTCCAGCCACCTGAGCTGAACTTCTACATTTTCTCCTCGTGTTTCTAATCTAAAGCAGTTGCTAAAGTCCATCTCCTCTTGCCATGTGTCCAGTCAGATTAGAGAGATCATCTGCCCAATTTTAATAAAAGATAAAACCATGGCTCATTCAACAGGCCTGCAAAGAACCCTTCCCATTGACTTCAGCTCAGCTGTAACAGCTGGGTAACACTGAATAACATAAACCCAGTCACTGAACAGCTGGACTGTGTAATCTGGTACCATCAACTCAGCTTTGTACTGAAGTACAACCCACTAAACAGGACACTTGGCTCTTCCAGATCAACACCACGAGGGCATAACTTCCCCAGGACAGATGCAGGGTACCACCCTGTGAGTTTATTGCTACTTTATTGCTCGTGTGTAAAAGCCCTTCAGTGGTCAGCACTGGTTCCAAAGCAAAGCTGTGCTCCGGGCACCAGCAGCTCCAGTTCAACACCTGCCTCGGTTCCTCTGAGCTTTCCACAGCTCCTGCAAACAAACTTCTCACCAAAACCCTTCACACAGGAAATGAGTGTTTTTTCTTCACCACAGAAGAGAATTCCAGTTGCCACTGAGTAACAAAGTATGGATCAAATCCAGCTCTGCACTGGAAGGCACACTTTTTCCCCACTGTGTTTGGCATGTTTTTCACAGAGCTACATAACTGCTGAAACATTCAGTTCTCCAAAGGGCCACATGGACAGCAAGTGGCAAGAGCTGCAGGAGAAAACAAAGCAACACTGTAAGGAATAGAAGGGGGAAAAGGGGTAGAGAACATCCCTTCAGAGCTCAATTAATTGTGATTCAGTGACACAAACTCTGGACTCTGTTAGGAAAAATCTTGCTAACGAAATTGGTTTTTTCCTCTTTCCAGTTCTAATTTTTATGCAGAGCCAATGCAATAATCCAGATTTGAGTTTTCTAACCCTGTATAATTCTCTTTTGCTAAATTGGGCTTCTTATAATAAGACATACTCTGGGCATCTAAATAAACCAAGACAAACAAATGAAAAAAAAAAACTCACACCTTTTTCTAAACCAAGAATTTGTTCTTCCACCCATGTATCCACTAATCCACAGCCATTCAGAGAAAGCTCCCCTTTAACTCCAAAACTGTGATTTCTAAGCAAATGCAAAAATGGAAACCATTCGTTTTTCTACCCATTGAGGGCTTTCCAGTTGCATGGTTTGCATTTACAGCTTCAGCTTTCATGGCAGAATACAGATTCACTGGTTTTGGCTCAAAATTTGTGCAGTGGGCTAATCGTGCTCCATTTTAGCACCACGTTCCACAGAGATTTATAACTTCAAAATTTCTAGACTATAAGGAACAAGCAACAGTTAATGAATCCAGTGCATTTCAGGGGGCTTGGAAATAAAAGCTCAAAATTTGGCTAGGAAAAACAAAACAAAAAAAAAATATAAAACAGATGAAGATGAACTATGTTGACAAGAGAGTGAAGTAATAGCACCTATGTTGTTGTGATGCTAAACATTTGGCAGTGTTTTCTCTTGACCACAAAGGAGCCACTGGACTCCCTGACCAGGAGGAGTGAAGTGAACAGAGATTTTGACTTGAGGCTCCAGTTTTCATTGAGCTGACAGTGAAAAAATTCAGTGGCAGAAGGATAAGGATTTTTAAACATTCCTTCACCTCATATCACCTTGCTCCCCCTGAGGCAAAGCCACACAGTTCATCCCTTTTGAAGAACTGACAAATCAGTTTTTTACAGTCTGCTGTACAAGCTGACCAGGACTAGAAATGATAAAATTCACAAGGAACAGTGCGAGACAGTCTTTCTGTTCTCCCCACTGTCCATAATGGGTCGTTTACCCCCCCAAAATCCCAAATTAACTGGCATGAATGCTGGATTGTGAGGCCTGGCTCTCCAGGTGGTGTCACAGCTTGGGCAGAGCCCCGGCTGGTGCCAGCATGATGCCAAACACATAGAACAGCCCCAGGAGGAGGTTGAGCTTGGCTGTCCGCTGAGGGATTTTGTTGAAGCTCCGGCTCCGGAACTGCCTCTCCAGCGAGAAGGCCATGGGGATGGTGAGCAGTGGCAGGGCCATGCTGATGGTGTAGCGTGTGGCCAGCACACAGAAGATCAGGTAAGGCAGGAAAAGCAGGACGGTGTAGAGGATGTAGGAGAAGGTGGGGCCGATGAGGATGGCCAGGGTGACGATCCCCGCCTGCCGGTCCGACTCCATGTCGCGCGTGTTGTTGCTGTGCAGGATGGCCTCGGTGCTGAGGGCCAGGGGGACGGCGTAGAGCAGGGGGGACACCGACAGGTACCCCACCTGCACCGCGTGGGCGAACATGACGGCCAGCGGCCCGAAGGTGATCAGGATCACCACGTCCCCCAGGGCAACGTACTTAAATCCAATCCCTGTGGCAAGACACAAGAAAAGGAAGCGTCACCAAACAACTCCGGTCTGACAGAAGAGAATGAACGACACGACAGATCAGCCCTTTCCCATGGGAATATGGCAAAACAACCAATGCACATGCAGATATGGACAAGAAGCATATTATCCCTTTTTTTCAAAGATAATGGAGGAAATGCAGCTTCTGGATTACTCCAGTCAAACAATGTAACAGAAACTAAGGACCAAAATGAAGCATCGCCAAACATCTCCAATTTGACAGAAGAAAATGAATGACACAGATCAGCCCTTTCCCATGGGAATATTGCAAAACAACCAATGCACATGCAGCTATGGATAAGAAGCATATTCCTGTATCAGGAATGGTGTGGCCAGCAGGACCAGGGAAGTGATTCCTCCCCTGTACTCAGCACTAGTTAGGGCACACCTTGAGTGCTGTGTCCAGTTCTGGGCTCCTCAATTCAGGAAGGATATTGAGGTGCTGGAGCATGTCCAAAGAAGGGCAATGAGGCTGGTGAAGGGTCTGGAGCACAAGTCCTGTGAGGAGCAGCTGAAGGAGCTGGGGGGGCTCTGCCTGGAGAGGAGGAGGCTCAGGGGAGACCTTATTGCTCTCTACAACTCCCTGACAGCAGCGTGTAGCCAGGTGGGGGTCGGTCTCTTCTCCCAGACAACCAGCAGCAGGACAAGAGGGCACAGCCTTAAGCTGCACCACAGGAGGTTTAGGTTGGACATCAGGAAGAAATTCTTTCCAGAGAGAGTGATTAGACATTGGAATGGGCTGCCCAGGGAGGTGGTGGAGTCACCATCCCTGGAGGTGTTTAAGAAGAGACTGGATGTGGCATCAGTGCCATGTTTTGGGTGACAAGGTGTTGTTGGGTCAAAGGTTGGACTTGATGATCTCAGAGGTCTTTTCCAACCTGTGATAATAAGGACCAGGTTCTAATATCCATCCTCATATCTATTTCTATTTCTATTTTGTACCTATTTCTGCAGAAATCCCTACAAATAAGGTACTCTTCATTGTGATCGTGCATACTAGAACCCAATCCTGAAGAAAGATATAAAATGCTCAGAACAAAATGCAAAACTGACAAGATTCTTTCTGAGAAACCAACACAGCTGAATGTCTGACAGTTTGAAACTGAGTTGGTTTCTCTTCTCCTTGTAATGATGTTTGTATATATCCAACACAGGAAGGCACTAAAATTATCCTCCTCTCATTAAGAACAAACATAAACTGTTCAGCATTCACAATGAAGCTCCAACAACAAAACATTCCAAAACAAAGTAACAATTCCACCAAAGAAAATAGGCTGTGAGGTACCCTGCTAAGGAATAGGAAACAAACATCACAAGATTCAGCAATGGTTCTGATAAGCACCTAAAGCCATTTATGTAAATAACAATGTTTCAACACCACTTCCCAACTGAAGAACTTAGCGTGACTCTTCCCACAACAATCAACTGGAAAGAATACAAGTTTACGCACCTGTACTCCAGGAAACACCACTAAATACTTTCATGGCAGTACACTACATAGATAATTTGCATCTTCTAGAAACCTTGGACAATTCAGCTAATTCTGTCACATTTACATTCAGATTCACAGCAGACGGGACGCAGCACTTACCCCCGGTATAGAGGAAGGAGCTAGAAAGTCCTCCGAAGTAAATCAGCGCCAGGTGCTCCAGCTTGAGCGTGGAGACAGCGTAGAGCCCGGCAGCGCAGATACAGCCCACGGTGTACAGGAACACCCCAAACCGCACCACGTCCTGCGGCTCCAAAATCTGGTCCACCAACGTCCTGTCATCGCTCTTCTTGTGATCGATGCCCTTGGAGAAGTCGTAGTAGGTGTTCACCAGGTTGCCGGCGCCGTGCACGGCCAGGACGGTCACGGCGCTCCCCAGGAGCAGCCCCGGGTCCAGCGCTCCCTCGGCGCGGTAGGCGAGTGCGCTGCCCAGCGCCACGGGGGTCAGCGAGGCGCTGAAGCTCCACGGCCGCAGGGCCAGCACATAGGCCGCGCATTTGTGCCTCCAGCCGCCGGGAGCGGCCCCCTCAGCGCCCGCCAGCGCCGAGCCGCCGCCGTTCCTCTCGCTCCCGCGGGGGCTCTCAGCGCTGATGCTGATCTTCTGCACCGGCTCCGCCGGCCCCATGCTCGCCCCGCCGGCTCGCAGCAGCAGCAGCACCTAGAAAGGGAAGGGCCGCGCGTTATCGGGACGGCGGGGCCCGGGGGGGGCCATGGCGACCTGAGGGGGAAGGCGGGAGCGCCGCCACTACCCGCCTTACCGCCGGCCCGCCCCGCCTCGTCGCCCCCGCGCGAGGGGTTCCGCACCGGCCGGCACCTCCCGGCGTATACAGATTGAATGGAAAAATTAATCGGCCCGCGGCGTCACGCACGGCGGCGAGGGGGTCACCCCGCGGCACGCGCCGGCACCGGGACTGGAGGAGTCATCGAGGGCACAGAGCCCCCGCAGCCGCCGCGGCCGCTCCCGGGGCTCTCACGGGCGGCCGGACACATTTCGACGGCGCGCCGCTCCCTGCGCGCATGCGCAGAGCGCAGTCACACCCCGGGCGTGGGGCGGGCGCGGAGGGACCGCAAAGATTATTTAAATTCCCACCCCTGCCGCGGGCGGGGACACCTTCCAGGGACCAGGGGGCTCCGAGCCCACTCCAACCTGGCCTTGGGCACTTCCAGGGATGGGGCACTCACAGCTGCTCTGGGCAACCTGCGCTAGGGCCTCACCACCCTCACGGCAAAAAATGTTTTCCTGATATCTAATCTAAATTTTCCCCCTTTCAGCCTGAGCGCTTTCCCCCTTGTCCTGTCACTACAGTTCCTGAGGAAGGGTCCCTATCTGGCCTCCTTGTAGTCCCCTTCAGGTTCTGTAAGGCTGCCCTGAGGTCTCCACACAACCTTCTGTTCCTTCCATAGGGGAGGTGCTCCAGTTCCCATCTCTTCCCTCCAGCGTGTGACGGCACCACACAGCTCGGTGTCACCTACTGACGGTGCCTCAGTCAAACCGTCCATGTCGCCGACAAAGCTGCCGAGCAGCATCGGCCCCACACGACCCCTGAGGGACCTCTGTCCTCACTGATCTCCACGTGGACAATGAGCCGCTGACCGCAGTGCGGCCCAGCAGCCAGTTCTTTATCCATCCGTCTAATCCCTGCCTGTGAAGCGCAGAGCCCGGGACGGCGGCGTGTGGACTGTGCGGACAGCGCCGAACGCCCCGCACCAGCCAGTGCAGACGCTGCCGGCGAACCCACACACCCCCCGCGCTGCAGCCCCGCCACGGCGGGCGCCGCAAGGAAGGGCGGAAGCCGGCGTCTGGGGGGTGGGCCTAGAGAGCCAGGACAGCCTTTCTATTCGTCACACCTACTGCCACTCACCACGCCTGGCTCGATGATTGGTCAGCAGGCGGCTGTCCTTGCCGTTCCTTGGGCTAAGGGGCGGGGCTGCGAGCGCCCCTTCCCTTTCGCTCTTTTTCTATTGGCCAGAGTCCACGCTCATCACGGCGTTCCCGGGCGCCCATTGGCCAGCGGGGGCCGGCCGGCGCGGCGGGCGCGGCGGCGGGGCGGGCGCGGGGCCCGGAGCGGGGGAGCC